TTTATGTATTTGTAAATATATACATTTAAAAATCCAATTCTTTTGCAAATATATATATATATATATTGAAAGAGATGAAGAAACCATGATATTTCATTAAGACCTGCTGCTTGGTCCCTTTTAGCTCTTATTAGATTTGGGGGCCTTTAAGGGCCTAAATTTTCAAAGAAATCCAAGTTAGGTCATATTTTGCTTTTCTCTAGAAGACATGCATTTTGGAGTTATAAAATAATATAAAACCAGGGGCTAAATGTGAGCAATTTTTCTTTTTTTTAAACAATACTAAATTTATATACTTCATAAATTCGTGGAAAAATGGAGTGAAAAGATAATATGAATCTTTCCATGAATTTCTTGAAGACCCCCCTCATAGATAGCTTATGTATGCTAACCAGCACTAATTATCTCTAGTAGGAAATAGAAGGGACCAATGAATTAGAAGTTAGGAGAAGTGAGTTCTAAACCCTTTTCTGCCAATAATCCGATAGTAGAACTTGGACAAATCATTGACATCTTCAGACATGGGGTCCCTCTGCTGTAACATCAGGACACTGAGAGAAGTAATTCTATGTGAGTTATTTGTATAAAACACACAGTGTGTACCTGATGTGTACTGAAGGATTATCCATGCCAGAGAAGACTAGATCTTTTTTTGAAGTCCATATTAATATTTTTTCTTCACTGAAAAGGATAATCGGGTGTTGATTCTCAGTCATAAATAACTGTGTTTTCTGTGCATACATGTATGAGGGGCCTTCCAAAAGTTCATGGAAAGACTTGTGTTATCTTTGGATTCTATTTTTCCATGAACTTTTTGAAGTACCTTCGTATGTCCAGTCTCTCTACCAGCCGTCATGATTTAAGTTTCTTCCTAGACTGCAGCCCATCTGTTATAAACAATAAAAGCGGAGTAGATATGTGCAAATGACTTCACCTAAGTCCTATAGGAGCAATCTTCTTACCCCATTTAGCTCATTCCAGATTATTTCCCTGACAGCAGAGAACTGTAGCAGTCATGCCACAAGTTTGATGACGGCAAAATACACTCTTTGCTTTGACAGTGTGTAAATTTCCCACAGGGGGATCATATATTTATTAATGTGTCACAAGTTGCTTGCTTCCTGTACTTCTTCCCAGTAAATAGGACTATGGCGTTCGTTGGATGCTACTTTATTTTTAGCTTTTTCAATCACCTCCTGATGAACAGAAACAGTAAACAAGTATTAAAACATCAAAAGTAATTTGAAAATAGTGCTATCCTGGGGAGTCTGGAATTCCAGACTTTACCAGACATTTGTAAATGAGCAGCATCTCACAGAGCTGGAGAATTAATGTCAGGAATATAAGAACACCTAAGTGAGCTCATCTGGAGCCACTTTCTGAAGATAAGGGGTCAGTGGATTTATGGAAGACAACCAGGTGATGGCTGGAGTGACGAGTCCATATTTTTGTTGAAATGTAGTCATTCTTGTCCAGCACATTCAGATATCCCAAAGGAAAAGTATAAGGACTTATCTGGGTTTGTATGCTTCACACTAATTAGTACCAAAGAACCGAAGGCATCGTTAATGATGATAGTTTCTTATCAACCTGCTGAACACACACTGTGTGGCTATACTACAAAATGAAAATATAAAGGAAATGGAACGAAGGATGCAGTGCTGAAAATAAGATCTAACACTTACTGAGTGCTCACTATAAGATAAGCACTGTTCTAAGCTCTTTATACGTTTTAATGTGTTTGACCCCCATGTCAGACTATGGGGTCCTTGGTATTGTTTTCTCCTTATACAAATGAGGAAATGGAAGCCTAAGGAACCAAGTAACTTTACTTAGTTTTCAAAAATAATGAATGATTGAGCTGGAATCTGCACCTCTGCAGTAGGGCTTTGGAGTTTTTGCTCTTAACATGAACTTGCTTGTATTTAAAAAAAATTAAATAAAGCAGCCTAGTATTCGAAACAAGGAGGTGTAGAACAACAGTCAAGCAAAACTAATCAATAGTTTGAGGAGAAAGAAAGCCTAAGACTCTTGGATCTAAAAGATTTATGTGGAAATTTCAAAATTAAATGAATTGATCTACTTGGAACGGTCTCTTTTCTTTAAGAATTCTAATGTGTTCAACAAATATATATTAATCCAAAACCTAAATATTTTTCTAAGACACATTTAAATGTATCCTAAGATAGTTGATAGCCTAACTTAGACAATTATTTTTTCTGAAAAGAAAAACTTACAATGAGCCTGTAAAGAGCATGCTGTAGTCTGTACTGGAGTAAAATTAATAAATAATGCATGAGCAATATTGCTGGCAAACCCAAAGAGGGATAGCTTTTTCACTTGGGTGTGAAGCTGAAGCTAAATTTTAATACACTGTCTTTTCTCTCAAAGCTGTTTATTTTTCCAGTATTTTCCATGCTAAAATATCGACTGTACCTTCCATATCCTCAACTGAGAAAAATTCTTCATCATCTTGGATGCTTCCCTCTGTCCTTTGCTTCCTCACTGTCATTTAGATTCAATGTCTTAAATACATTTTGAGCACAATCCCTTCTTTCTATCCCAAAAGAATTCCCTTTGTGGGGACTGCCATTTTTTCCTGAATGAATGCAGTTGATTTCTGATTTGTCTCACTGCATTTAGTCTTTCTTCCAATCCAACCCATTTTTCTCATTACAATCAGAAAAACCTTTCCACGATCCAAATAGCATCATTCCCCAATATAAAATCCAAACTCTCTGAAGTGGCTTACATGACTTTCAGTCTGGCTCCTGTGCACAGCTCCAGTCCCAGGTCCTTTATATCTACCTTATACCCCAGCCACACCACTTGATTTGCAGTTCCTTAAACATACCAAGTTGTTTCATGCCTTCCAGCCTTTGTGCATACTATTCCCTGAGATAGCCCCCCTCAAAATTGCCAAATTCTTATTCATTCTTTAAGACGATCCAAGTATCACCATTTATGAAACCTTCCTGTTTCTTTCTTTGACACCACTGTTGCAGTTCATATATCTTTGTAGTACTTATCACATTAAATTTCCACTGTTTAGTTGTATATCTGTTTTCCTGGATTGTGAGAGGCTGAGGGAAGAGAATATATTTTTATAATTTTAGCAAAATCCCTGAAAACATACTCTCAGGACTATTTTCAGACTTCCGATTGACTTTGTTTAATGATTAATGGTTTCACTTATTAAGTATTTTAGATCTACTTATAAGCTAGGTATTCTAGGAAGCTAAAGATGTCTACATTCAATAAAGTATCTTCTAATATTGTGGAAATATTTGTTACTCAATATAAAATTGAGTAACTATCCTAGCTATTTTCTGGTCTTTCTCATCATGTCATATTAACATTAAACAAAAGAAAGAATCTAAATCAAGGAGCTGCTTAAATGTCAAAGCATCTTAGCTGAGCAAGGGAGAGGACTTGGGGGCTGTGGTCCATGTGTGCAGTTGGCAAAGCTAAGAGGAACAAACATCACTGAGCACCTATGACAGGCCAAGCAGATTTCTATTCAGTGTCTGATTTAACACTCAGACAAGAGCTGTCCCTCTACCCCACCTGAGACTCAGAGGGATTAAATAAATTGCCCAGTGTTACAGAGATACCAAGCAGAGAGACGCAAATATATGACTCTTATGACCAAGTATGTGAATAAACAGTTCTCTATCAAACATTGAATCTGATTTTTATTTTATTTTATTCCCCTTTATTTTTATTTTATTTTATTCCTCTTTTATTCCCACTGTCTGGCACCATGACTGACACATTAACTGTGTTTGTTGAGTGCCCAGAGACTTAAGTAGCAAGGAGAAGTAGTGCAATTAACACAAAAACTTTGTCTGGTACCAAGTCTTCCAAAAAGATCATTGAACATGACTTTTATTCCTACTTACTCCAAGTTGTAAACTTGATTTAGGAAGGGAAACCAGCAAGGAAAAAAAAATGAGATGCTGATTTAATGACCTAATTCTATAGAATTTGTCTATCAGGATGGGGTTGTCCATCTGTAACACAGTACAAAGCTTCTCTCTGACAACTCCAGGTCCCAACCCAAATAGATATGGGTCAGTAGAGATAGTGACTTTGCAATACATTTACCCATGACTGTTTTCTGAACATATTCATTGATAACTTCTCCTCTCCCAAGGCAACCAGCACTGTGAGAGTAGAGCAGCAGCATTCCCATCCTTCCACTGTGCTTAATAGGTCAACCACATTTTTCTATTTCTCTGTTGAGTTTGCCAATTTTAGTATAAGCCCAAGCTCAACTTTCTTTCAGACCTAAATTTTCCTTTATTCCTTATATTTTTCTAGATAAAAAAATCTCTACTGAACATTTTTCAAACTTAACCTTTTGAAAAAACAAAAATTATCCTAGTGCTGTGATTTGAATGCCCCCTGCCAACCAAGATCATGTTGGAACTTAACTCCCAATATGGTGGTGGAAATTGAGGCCTTTAAGAGGTTCCTTCGCAAATGGATTGATCCATTCATGGGGAGATTAGGTTGATGGTTAATGGGTTGTCATTGCCACAGATTGGTGCCTTATAAGGAGGGCAAATGAAAGAGCTCATGCGATTCTTGCCATGTGGCACCCTGCATTGCCATGGGAACTTTTAGAGAGTTTCCACCCAGAAGAGGGCCCTCAGCAGATGTGGCCCCTGGACAATGGACTTCCCAGCCTCTAAAATTGTAAGAAATAAATTTCACCTATTCATAAGTTACCCAGTTTCAGGTATTAATTTTAAGTAACAGAAAATGGACTAATGTACCTGGCAAATAAAAAATATTCAGTTGACTTTACAGCACCAAGCATTGTTTACTTGGTTGACAAGAGAGAATTCCATGGAATAAGCCAACATATCATAAAATGAGTTAAACAATGGAGATTTTTGCCTCTCTCCCTCTTTTAAGTAAATTAAACACACTGCCTTGGCAGCACTGGCTTTTAGTTCACACCAGGTCACCATATTTATTCTGCTTTGTTACAGAAACTCCACTTACTGTATGAAAGTATCCATCTCACTGACAGTGGGTGAAAATGACACTGGACTCTGTTACAATTCCAAGATGAAGTACTTTGAAAAAGCTGAACTTAGCAAAAGCAAGGAAATTTCGTGCCGTGACATAGAGGATTTTTTACTACCAACCAGAGAACCTGAAATCCTTTGGTATAAGGTAGGGACTGTGGATGATTATTATTGACTGTAAGTAGATTAATGTGTATCTTATTCTGGGGCAAATTGCACAAAAAAATTTAAATAGACATGGTATACTTCAGCTCTGCCTTCTTACAATACTACAGCAAGTTGTGTTGATTATTATGTTTTCAAACCAGTGGCTTTGATAAATTCTAGTCAATATTTATATTGGCAGTCCATTGTAATAAGCTATTGTGTTTATGTTGATATCTTGTATATATGGACAATTCTTTCAAGTCTATTTTAGTTTGGGTTGATAATTTCGGGAACTAAAATACATTGAACATTCATTTCAGGGTTCTTCATATTAGCATTCTAAAAAGTCCCCAAACAAGGAGGAAAAGGATCAATTTTCTTCTGTGATAAAATGATACATTAGTTTTAATGACTGTTCTGTTTAATGGATGTAACTTTGTCTATAGTCTAATCCTTTTCATATATAAGCATGCACATTTTAAAGAAATACATATGAGGAAATTTTATAAAATTATAAGAAGTAGTAGAGTAACTTTCTTCAAAAATCAAAAGAAACCTTAAACTTGAAGAGAATAATCCAACCCCTGTCCTTCCTATCACATCATTGACATTCGCTAAAGTTACAAATTTTAACATACTTTTAAGTTTATTTACACTATATTTTTTTTGTTATGGAATGTACTAAAATAAGTGTATGGATGCTACGAACATTTCTCAATAATATTTTACCCATGGCTTAAAGATTCCAGCACTCTAGAAGTAGGAAGTTAGGAAACTGGGCCTCTTAGTAACGAGGTCCACAAATGCAATTATACAGAATGTGAGCCCTCGTGACTGACTGCTCATGAATTCCTAAACTGTTAGAAATGAAATAAGAAGCAAATGTTAAAAAAACTTTTAAAAGGATTTTGCCAAAATCAGCAATGGTCTTGTCTAAGTAAGATTTGATTTTGATTCTTGATAATAAGAAATGGAGGGTTCAGAATATCAAGGAAACTACTGAAAAGCTTTTTACTTGTCCTCTGTTTTCTATACTAGACAATGTTAAGCAGCACTCAAATATTAGTCCCACTGGTTTCTGTTACTATTTGAATGAGCTTTATTTTTCCTCCTTTTTAAATTGCTTATTTCTCATCTTTGATACTCTGTGGTTTGCCTGCCTTCCGCAGGCAGAGTCTGAGCAAGCCCTGATGATTGCTTCAAGGGACAGTGGTATTAGGGGAGTTTTACCCAAGGCCTCTAAAAACAAGTTTTTTTCTAGGACTCATATGTGGACATTCAGCTTCTAGATATGCAGTTTCTTTGTTGTTCATTAACAAGTTGATTTTAAGAATTGTCTTTTCTCACCTTTTGCAAACATCATCTCAAAATTTACTGAAAGATGAGAGACGATACATACACACACTCAGTTTAAAAAATGGCTGGCTTCACATTGGTCCTTTAGGCATTCATATTTTCACCATTGCCACTATCATTTTGACCTTAAGCTATAAAGACCATCACTATGGAGTGGTGGGTAAAGACGCAATATACAGTAGTCCTCTCTTATCTGAGGCGGAGGCTTTGCAAGACCCCCAGTGGAAGCCTGAAACTACGGATAGTACTGAACACAGTATATACTATGTTTTATCCTATACATATGAGGGGTCCTCAAGAAATTCGTGGAAGGATTCATATTACCTTTCAATTCTATTTTCCATGATCATTTTGAAGTATCCTCAAACATATCTATGATAAAGTGTAATTAATAAATAAAGAAGAGATTAATAATGATAACTAATAATAAAATAGAACAATTATAGCAGTATAAAAGCTATGTGAGTGTGGTCTCTGTTACTCAAAATATCTTATTGTATGTAATATTTTCGGAAATGAAACTGCGGGAAGTAAATCTGCAGATAAAAGGAGACAGGTAGAATTTAAAAATCTTATAACGTTTCAGATTATTTTTCCATAGTCAGGGCTTAGCTTCTATAGTCTAAATAGCTGAGATGTAAGGGCTACTTCTAAAGTAGAATATTTAAAAATAATTAGTCTAGCTAACTATAGATTCCATATGTTCAGTGAACAATTTATGCAGTTATGACAGTTTATTCAACTAATATGAGCATATAGAATGTGTATTTTGGTCTGAAATAACTGAATAATCCCCCTCCCATTACACAAAGGCATTGAGCCACATAAAATAATGGACTGCAAAAATTTGATTTGGCAATAAAATTTGGGGGATATGATATTACCTGTGAAAGTGTCAAAGGATTTAAAGCTGTTTTATCCTCATCCCATTGATTCCAAATCTGGCTGGAGAAAATGGACTTTTGTTTTGGCAAAAACAGAAATCTCCCAAGCCAGTGTCATTATAATCCAAAGCTTAATTCAGAGACCATAATTTGGTAGGTCTATCAACACTGAAAACAGATATTCATGGGACTATAAAGACCTTGCATGTAAATGTTGGCTGTTTCTAGTACAGATTATAGAATATACATGCTATGAAGAGATGTAACTTTTACTAAATACAACATTAAAGTATTTCAAATATTGAAATAGAAGCATTTTCGTTTATAGAGCTAATTTTTCTACTTTCCATTAAAATAATACATTTTGTATTTTATGATATCAGTATGGTTAATTTCACAGTCAACAAATGTGAACTATTTGCTTCTAAAAATGGCATCAGGGATAGTCTTTAAGTCTTTATTCTTATATCTAATAAATCAATGCATATCTAATGTAGAGACACTAATATTAGAAGTTAATAAAGTGATCCTAAAAATGCTCTTTTCAAATTGAGGTACCTAAAAGGAATGAAATTATTTACCATTTATTCCAAACTTGTTAGTCATTTTAAAATGTAACTTTACAAACTTTTGGTTTAGTTATTTAAAATGCTTTTCTCTATTTTTCAGTTACTGTATGCACTATCAAAATTTTATGTTCTTTATTCATGTAGGAATGTAGGACAAAATCATGGAGACCAAGTATTGTATTCAAAAGAGATACCCTGCTTATAAGAGAAGTCAGAGAAGATGACATTGGGAATTATACCTGTGAACTAAAATATGGAGGCTTTGTTGTAAGAAGAACTACTGAATTAACTGTTACAGGTAATCACAGTCTTCAATATTTCATTTGCAAGTAATGAAACTACCATATTAAGTTAGTTTTTGTTTTGCATATTGATTTTTATAATCTATGTAACGAAAGGAATACTTAACCAAATTCTAAGTGAATTCCTATAAGTGAAATTTATTCCTCCTTGCTTTTAAATCATCTCGCATCCATTGAAATACATTTGGAAGGTTAAAGAGAGTATGTTTAGGGAATTATAGAAATGTTAGCTTTGAAAGTAATTGAAATAATGAGTTTACAGTTTCAGAAAATTATGCTTATATTTTGTAGTGATATCATTTTTGGAAACATTTTCTAGAGTGGTGGAGTGAAATATATGGAAACTCTGTCTTCCTCTCCTGGTCCAAATTAGAAAAGTCTCTTTTTTCTTTTATTCATTTATTACTCTATGAATTTGACATATGTGTTCTCATGAACTTGAAAATAACAGTTTAATTCAGTACAAGTATTCAGTGCAATCACCAAATAATTATGTGAGCTGTAATGCGTGGAGTCATTCCCATATCTGGTTGCTAAGGTGGAAGGACATGAGAACAAGATTCAGTACCCTGCCTATAATCATGAATCTACAACTCCTTAGTTATATGTCCTCGGTTCAATCATCTCAACCTTCAGAATATTAGTTTTCTTATGTATGAAATGGTGATAATAAAATTCACCTTATTTCATAGTGCTTTTGCAAGGATCTAATGATGTAAGTTAACATTTATTAAATCAATTTGCAAAATGTGGAATTATATCAAATATGCATAACTTTTATATAATGTAAAAAACACTATTCATACCTTTTCTTATAGTGTGCACTTCCCTAAAAGCGGTTTCATGAGAAAAGGGGGGGAAAAATCAGAACATTAGCAAGTTGAAGACATTATTCTCATATTCTTAGTGAGAGAGATTCTTGGTGACATTTTTGTACAATCATATTTGTGAAACATAGAGAAAAACAAAAAAAGGACATTAACTATTTTAAAGATATTTTTATGTGTTCATTGATTCTTAAAATAGTTTTCCTATATATGAAAAGTGTTTTGGGGTGGTCACCCACATCTTATAATAATCAATTTCTTTTAAATATTGAGATTGTGATGTATTGGGGCTTAAAAATTACATCTGGCTTAATGGAATTTATTTGATAAACATCAAGTATTCTGATAGAAAATTTAGTTAAATAAATAAAGTGCTCTTTTGTAATACCTTTAATAAATATTAGATCCCATAAACAACTGACATTTGCAATATATGATAGACTTGAATAGTAAACACATTCAGTCCTGACTTGTATTATGCAACTATGGTAAAAATGTGTATGATATATAATAGTTTGGTTTTCAGTTTTGCTGTATGTACCAGGTTTCTGTACAGAAAATTAAAATCAGCACTTTATCACTTTACTTCCTTTATTTTTAATGGCCAGTGAAAAATATGAGGGTACTTCAAAAAGTTCATGGAAAGGTTCATTATTTTTTAATTCTAGTTTTCCACAAATTTTTTGAAGTACGCTCGTATTTTCTATTCAGAGTGGATTTTTTTTTCCTTTATATTTTTAAATTTCTTTGTTTGGACTTAGGTTTCTATACAATAAATATTGAAATTTTTTTGTCTCATTCATTTTTTGCTCTCAATCTATACTGAAGTACCTTTTCCAAACAGTAGATATTGAGTCAAAGGAAAATTTAAAAATATAAAGGAACAAGATCTATTCTGAACATAAAATATGAGGGTACTTGAAAAAGTTTGTGGAAAACCGGAATTAAAAGATATTATGAATCTTTCCAAGAAGTTTTTGAAGACCCGTCATAGAATGCACTTCTAATCTTTGTTGTTCAGAGGATAGAACTAATCCTTGGTAAGCACGTTTTCCCTTTCTAAAAATATTAGGATTCTAAACCACTATGTAGTCTGAGGCAATTGGAACACAATCTCACGGAAGCTATACACTGGGTTGCAAATGATAAAACAGCACATATAAAGCTATTTCATAGAACCAAGAACAGCACTCCTTTCTCCTAAATGCTTTCTAGGGCTACTATCCTTTCTTAAACTTCATTTGTCCAAAAATAGCTAGTTTTCTTTATACGGATATGAAGAACAGTTAAGTCTTGATATCCAAGTGGAAGTTAGTGAAAGTTTTCATTCAACTGATTATCTTGAATACTTCTTTTTTTTTTTTTTCCTTTTTGTCTTTTTTCATGACCGGCAACGGATCGCAACCCTCAGTGTCGCGCCCGTACCGGACCGGGACCGGCTACGGGATCGCAACCCTCGGTGTTGCTCCCGCACCTCGCTCAGCCAGTGAGCAGCCGGTCTGTATGTGGGATCCGAACCCTCGGCGGGAGCGCCGCCGCGCTTCCCAAGCGGCGCACTGTAGCAGTGCGCCACCGGGCCAGCCCTATCTTGAATACTTCTATCTTAAGTAGGCTTACTTGTAACACTGACTTGGGAAAATAAGTTATAAGGAAAAGTTTGACTATATATGAAATTTTGGGTGAATAGAGAACTGCATGTCCTAGAATTACAAATAGTATGTATTAGAATGCATTTTAGGTATTAATAAGTCTATTGGGAACATATATTTACCCATAACATTGCTTTAAATGCTGTGACACTATAGCACATTTATTTTGACTGTGGCCGAATTAAAGAACAATTCTTAGAACCCAAATTATGGCCCTCAATAAAGCACCAAAGGTGGCAAGTTCCTGGATGATAATTAATCACTGTTTTGTATCTTGGTTTTCTGCACATCATTATCACCTTGTACTTAATGTAAATATTACGCAAAGCATGATATCATTTCATTTTAGTGGAACTGCCTTAGCTGACGATAAACAAATATTTTGGAGTTTGTTAAAATGTCTTCAAAAAGATAAAAGAAAAAAATCGTAAACGTGAAAAGAAAATTTCTGGCCAAACTAAGTGGCTAAATGTGCAGGCAATATTGTGAGCTCTTATGGTCATCCTTTCCTTATTGAATGTGCCTAATTAAGTAAAGTACTGGTTCAGGGAAACAGATCATAGTAAAAGGAATAATAAATCTGCCCAGCACTTTTAGTGTTTTAAACATTTTTTTTTTTTTAGCTTAAAAAAAATTTAAGGTGTCTCAGCATCCATCTCTAACCTCCACCATTTTTCTAAGCTCCAGCCACACTGAAGGTTTTACTGTTCTCTAAAAGTCCTCCTTCAGAACCTGTACTTACTGTGTTCTTTTTCTGGAAGGCTTTTCCCCCTACTTTGTCACAGGGCTGATTCTTACTCTTTATTCAAGGCACAGCTAAACTGTTACCTCCTTTTAGAGGCAAATAGTCTTTCATGCTTCCCCAACACTTTTAGCATCTTTATTGTAACACTTCACTTACCACATTGCATCATAACTTTTGACACTCCTGTTTATTTTTCCCCAAGAATGTGAGCTACTTAGAGTCAAGGCCTATGATTTTATTTTTAGTAGAATAATTTTTATTATTATTATGGATATTCATGAGGTACAAAGCTGATTGGCACACCTCGTGCCCATGATGTAAGGGCCAGCTTCATACTGGCAGCATACCCATTACTACAAATTGTATTTGTACCCTGTGTCCCCACCCAATTAACCCCAACCTCCCTATCCCTCCCCTTTCCCCCCCCCACTCCATTTTGTAGCCCTAGGAATGTTCTCTCCCTCTGCAAGTCCAATGCACTACTGTGGTCTTTCTTTCCTTCCTTCTTTCTCTCTTAGCTCTCACACATGAGTGAGTACATGTGGTATTTATCCCTCTGTGCTTGGCTTATTTCACTCAACATAAGTTTCTCCAAGCTCATCCATGTTGTTGCAAATGATAGTATTTCATTCTTTTTCATGGCAGAGTAGTATTCCATGCTGTATATTTAGAACAGTTTTAGATTTGCAGGAAAACTACAAAAAGAGTAGAGATCCCAGATACTCCCACATTCAATTATTAGTATGGTGCATTTGTTACAATTAATCATCTAATGTTGATACATTATTATTAACTAAAGTTCATAGTTTGATTTCCTTAGATTTTAACTAATGTCCTTTTTCTGTTCCAGGATCACATCCAGAACAAGACATAAGATTTAGTTGTCATGTCTCCTTAGGCTTCTCTTGGCTGTGACTGTTTCTCACATTTCTTACTTTTAATGGCATTTATAATTTTGAGGAGTACTGACTAGGTATTTTGTAGAATGTCCTATATTGGGGATTTGTCTGATGTTTTTCTCGTGAGTAGACTAGGATTATGTGTTCTTGGAAGATAGACCACAGAGGTCAAATTACAACATATTATACTATCAACATGACATCATTGCTAATGTTGACCCTGATCACCTGAGGTGGAGTTTGTCAGATTCCTCCACTGTAAAGTTACTCTTCTCCCCCAATTTTCCATACCATACTTTTTGAAAAGAAGTTAATGTATACCATCCACACTTAAGGAGTGAGAAGTTATGCTCCACCTATTGGAGGGCAGAGTATTCACATAAATTACTTGCTATTTTTCGACATGGGACACATATCTATTTTCCAACATGTATTTACTTATTCAATTGTTTATATCAGTATGAACTCATGGATATTTATTTTATCCTTTAGTTTATAATCTACATTACCTTATTTATTTTGTTGCTCAAAGTTTTACAGCTTTGGTCATTAGAAGCTTAGGAGCTCTTTTATTTGGCTCACTTGTCCCTTTAACATACCCCCATCATTGTGTGTGTGTGTGTTTGTGTGTGTGCACTTCCTTACTTTCTGGCTCTACAAGATGCTCCAGACTCATTTTGTATGTTTCCTTCCCCAAGAATTATACTAGAATTATACTAGAAGCTAAGATCTGTGTGTTGGGAGTAGTCACTACAACTAAGGCATAGTTGCTTCTAAGCCCTTTCATTTGACAGAGAAAGACAATATGTGTATACACATATTTATAAATATTTCTATATGTAACCATCTGTATCTATATTAAGTTAAAAATGAGTT